CTTTGTCAAAGTTAGTTCTTCTTCAAACCTCTATGTGCTCAAGGACGAAGTTGTATATGTTGAAGGTACGCAGGTTTAACTCCGTAGGTGATCAGCATCTTGGTCCACTTTGTGTTAATAACTTAAAGACTAGCAATATTACATCGTTAATAAAACAAGTCTTACTTTATGCTCCATCTCAGAATCATGGTGTTTGAGTCTTGACACAGATTCATGTTCCTGTGAAGAAATCAAGGTTTTCAATCTCATTTGAGGTGAGTGCAACTCTATTAACAATTGGTCATTCTTTAGATATTACTTCAGGTTTTGTCACTATAGTGTCTTCAAGCTGTTTTGTATGGTTGGCATTAGTGTTACAATAATACAACCAACATCATTTCAAAAATCCTACTTACTTTTATTCCCCATGGAAATATAGGGTTGGAATATAAGTAAATTTATCACTATGGATCCAAGCTTAATATTTGCCCCTCAAAAGCATCCCTATACAATTTTGTTAGCATATAGCAGATTGCCCATTACTTTGGCTTTATGTTATGTAAATGATTTTAATCTGTTATAATGCATTCTTTTTATCACCCACTTGAGATGGCTCAATCCGGGGGTATTGTCCGGTAATCAACATCAAGCTTATAAGATTTTTTTGCTCTAAGGTTTGTGTTAATATCTTCACTAGTAAAGGAAAAATAACACTTTGAGTGGACAGTTTTCATATTACTAATAGAGTAATTACCAAGGAGTGTATTCCATAGATGTGCTATAAACCACTTCCTCCACTATAGTTCCCATTATTTGTGTAGGTGGAGTTACTTCTTCATCTAATCATGTAACATTTCAATAGAAAGCCTTATTCCCATGTATTTTCCTTCCTCAAATGTTAAAGCTTTTGAAGATTGCTCTATAACATGTATCAAATCCAATAAACATGTTTCATATAGACTCAACTTCCCTTTCCATACCTTAGAGGAATGCTAACTCCAATACTTATTCTTAGAGAAATTCATAGTTAGGGTGTATATGAGATCCTCAAGTGATTGGTTATAATGAAAAGACAATATTAAAAGGTAATAAAAAAAGAAAAGAGAAGAGAAATTAATATGAAGAGAGTGATATCCCCACTAGAACATCTTAACTTCCCACCACCTCAACCACGACTCAGGTTGTGGTAGACAACTTGTGTCTATATAGCCATTTTTATACCACCACAATTGAATCTCATTTGTTTTTGCTTCATGCTCTTCTTTAGAAGGTGTAGTCTATTATTGTTTGCACAACTCCTTAAATGTTAACTAGAAATCTGGTTTGATAAAGTGGTATTGCTGGTTTAGGCTCTAAGCCCAATAGAACTCATAAGTCTTCTTACAATCTTCTAGAGGTTGACTATTCCCAAAACCTTGAAAGATCCTTTCTTGAGTATAGCCAAAACCATTCTAATTAGTTCTAACCCCATCCACTATGAAACCACAAAAGCTAGCAGGCTTACTAGTCTATTTTAGCATAATATCCGAGAGGGACTTTCAAAATATTTCCTAGGCTATATGGTCTTGTACTTTAAACTCTACTGTTGCAATTGTTAAGTTGAAATGTAATTTGTGAAAAGGGCAATGTTTAAAACCATTTTAAAATAATGAGAAAAATAACTACTTCAGATTATACGAGCTCCCATGGTTATCCAACCTGATTCCAGTTCTATATGTTCAAAACGTACCCATGCATTAGCAAAGTCACTTGACCCAGATATATCTATTTGAGAGACAAGATTTACATCAAAGGTAGGGTCTATAGTAAATATCTTGAAGACAAAGAGACACTCTTGCTCATTAAAAACTTAATTTGAAAATGAACTCCCATGGATAAACTTGTAAGGATAGGTTCACTTTAGTTGAAGGATAGAATAGAAAGATTCACACATCTAAGATTTTATCCTAAATAAAACAAAATGTAAGAGAGATATTATTGTAAAGTATATAATATTATTTTCTTACCTTCTGAGGTTAGTCGCAAGTTGCATGCATCATAGTAAGTACTGTAAACTAGCATTGTCCAATTGAGTCTTTTTGCAACCTAGATTGAGTAGAGTGCTTGTAATAAAATCCTTGAGCACTGTTTTTTGAACATGCTTCGGAATGCAAAAGAATTTTTCATTATCTTTGTCTGCACAAAATTAGTATACTTTATATAATTAATAAAAAATATACTTTTTATTTGATATACCTACAAGTTGTAGTGCACATGGTTTTCACCCTTTATCCTATAGTAAATTACTATAAGATAACCACAAAGTGGAACTTAAAACCCTTTATATGCCATGTGTTATATGCCACGTGTCCAAGGATAGTGGAGTAGAACTTGAGTTTTAGGGCTTTGGACTACTGAACGAAGGGACGGAGCCAAACTCCCAAACTTGCAACCAAGGAATGAAGGAACTAGAGCATGGAGTGACTTTTGAGCATTCAATATAAGGAGTGAAAGGATATAAGCACAGAGTGACTTAGAATTGTCCTAGAGCTTTAGCATCTTAGGACTGACACGCAAAATAGAACCAAATGCAATTTGGCACTATTTCAGCATACTAGTAGCCTAACACGATGATACGGGTACTTTGCCAACTAGCATGGTGTGAAATTTGGGCTTAGACTCAAGCTAAACGCAAAACAAGGACAAGCACATAAACAAAAGTTAAACTATACTTTAAATTGGTTAGCCATGCCTGATCTACCCAATATCTCTACTATACATATGGACCCGACCCCCCCCCCCCTTTGAGGAACACATGCTTTGGGCTTTCACTCTTAAACACCCTTAGTCCTAAAAGTTAGTCTCTAGGACAAGCATGAAAACTTATTACAAATGGAATAGTGTTAAATTACAAATTTGGACACAAGATCAACACTATTGTGTTTAGGACAATCTTTACATTTTATAGATATACCAAATCTAGACACTTTCCATAAATAACAATTGGGACTAAATGAGACCAACACATGAGGCATGATAATAAGGGTGTTTGGCAAATATGGTAAGCTAATATGTAGCGATATTGCAAGATTAATCTCAATATATGAGAGTTCTTGTCAAGCTTGTGCAAGACAAAACAAAAGAGAACTAAGAGACAAGTTAAGTATGCTCAGCAAGAAACACATAAGAGTTCTTACCTTATATTCATCTAGTTAAGTACAAATGCTAAACCCATTTTATTAACACTTGATCAAGAGAAGCTGAAAAAGGGAACTAGTAAGATTAACTTCCTACAGTTATAGTAGTAAAAAAAGAATATTTGAAAGGACCAACCAATAGATAACTTTTGATACCTATAGTCATATTTGCGACACGAGTGTTTTTTTTTTTTGCAATATTACCTATAATACTCGTCTATATTTATTTCTATTTTTACCATCTCAAAAGATATTTCATGGTAGTCTTTCGGATGCATGATGTTGTAATGTGTTGCAAGAGTATATATATCATTATACTAATTGTTGCTTTGTTTCCACTGAAGCCAGAAAACATATAAGGCATTTTTTTAAAGTCACGAAATTGCAATTTTCTAAAACAAGTAGGAGAGTATTTTTTTTAACTCAATTTGTTATACCCTTTGTCATTGCTCTTTTATATGCAACAAGCTTACATGAATGGTTTTTTTTTTTTTCCTTTTAAACGGTTATATACCTTTATATAGAATCTTATTTCAAATTTAATAACTTTAAATTCTGACAAATCTAACATTTACTAGCCAAAAAGCACAAAGTGTAGATTTAAGAAAGTGAAAAGATTATTGTTTTTTTAAACAAATCTTATCTTATTTTATGTTCCAACAAGCATCTTTATTATGGCATATAGTAAGCATTTAAATTGTTGAACAAGAAGTGTCCTTTAGAACATTTTTACCTATATAATATAGTTCTGAAAATATTTAAACCTTAATTTTTAGCTCAACTCACGACAACTTGTGAGCTCAAGAATAGCAATGGAGCAGCTGTACCTGTATGTAGATCATCTCTTGGCTTACTCTGGTATGAGGGACTCGATGCTTACTTCACTCGGCCACAGCAGGAGTTCCTGCTCTTGTTTCTGACTGAGCAATTGGCCAGGATGATCGAGGAAGCCATGGACAAAGGCAAGGTCTGCACGGCACACTCTCTTGCGCCTTGTAATAGAGATCAAATGCAGGATCCATGCAAGGAACATGATGAGCAGCAGCCAAGGTCTTGTTTCGATCTGGAAGACTCTACATACAGCGGCCACATAGAACAGAGTGGAGAAAAGATTGATACAAAGAGACCTCAAGCCAAAGATTATGCAAGTTGGGACGTGAAGATTTTCCTGGCTACCGGAGAAACAAGGCCTTTGAAATGCTACTCAGAAAGAAAGCGACTTCATGACTGGATCATGTTTCCTGCAAAGATAATCTGAAAGGTTTTGAGATGAAAGAACATTTGAACATACCTTGGTTGTGAACTTAGAAAGACCGGATTGGCGTGGAGGGACGAGCTTGACACTTGAGATAGTGGTGCCGAGCAGCGATCATCTCCTTGTGCGTTAGTCCCTGTTTAAACAGATTCACCATGAAAAATTAAATTGCTAAAATTTTCCATTGTTGTTTCTTACTTTTGGAAGGTCATAGAAATTGTCCAACGTCGGAGAAGTTCCATCTTCCTACGATCAGAAAGCTGAAAACGATAGAATCACCAAGGACCAAAAAAATGTACCTTTTTTTCCCCCTTCTGGAGCTCCCTCTTCCTAGAAAATAAATCAAACGATCAATCTACAATACTAAACATCAGAAAGCACAGTGACGAGGAAGACAGACAAGCAGAATACCGCCCACACTGATAGAATAGTGGCTCCCTTCGCGGAGTACCCTCGAATCCACCGTCGCTAGCGCGAGGGATGCCAGGCGGGATGCTTTGCTGCTCACAACATTGCCGTTTTGTTATAATGAAAATATCAAAAAGGTTCTCGTTCCTACAAAACGGGTCCTAGGGTTTCAAAACTATCAAATGGCGATTGGTCTTCAGAATCAGGGAAGTACGTGCTCGATGAACAGCAGCCTCCAGTGCCTGCTACATACGCCACGGCTATCAGATTTCTTTGCAAAGTCGGACAAGATCAGGGGTGAAGTGGCGAATGATTTCAGGAAGCTGATCATTGAGAGCATGCGTAGCAACGCGAGCGTGTCCATCAAGCCAGGACCCAAGCTCCAATCTAGCCCAGGCTCGCAACAGGATGCACAGGAGTATCTCATGTTCCTCTTGAATGCTTTGGATCAAGAGCTGAAGCACGGTCATGATATGAGGGCTGCCACGAAAATGAAGCCTGTGAAATCAGGGAGAAAGGATCGTAAAGGTGGTGGTCAAGTGCAAAGCTCGCTAGTTGCAGAAATTTTTGAGGGCCAGACTAGAACAAAGCTACAGTGCCCAAAGTGCTCCAACGAGGCCTCGGTGACACTTGAGACTTTCATGTCTCTCTCGCTGCCAGTACCATCATCGACTGTGGGCAACACCATTACGCTAGAATCGTGCATTCAAGAGTACACAAAAGATGATATGTTGGATGCATGGTGCTGCTCAAAGTGCAAGAGTAAGCAGCACAACATTTGCAAGAAGATGGAGTTTGTGAAACTTCCAGCCTGCTTGATTATCCATCTCGCAAGGTTCAAGTGTGATTCGTCTGGGAATGTCGAAAAGATTGATACTGCCATAGATATTCCAGAAAGTGTGGAGATCTCGGGGCAGCACTACTCACTATATGGGTTGATAAACCACACGGGTGACGCTGATTACGGGCACTATACAGCGAGTATAAAACTTGGAAACAGTGAGTGGTATGCATGTGATGACGAATCGGTGGAACATGTTTCAGAACACAGTAGCTCCACAGATGCATACATTCTGTTTTACCAGAAAACTTCCTAGAGCGCATGAACATTTGTAACTCATGATAATAAGTTAATTCATTTGACGGAATGACGGAATGTATGACGGAATGTTTCATTGTCAGATCGCAAACTTCCTTGACAAGAATGTATTGGCACTGAAAAAGGAGACAAGTAACCTGCTTGTTTCCCCAAGAAGCTGGAGAGATCGAGGAATTAAGAATTCTGAACAACTCGAGAAAGTAAGCAAAGATTTACTCATTTAACCTTGATAAAGACAAGCGGATCGAGTTTTTCACATGGTCAGGCCGCACGCCTGGCTGGTAGGAAACGCAGAACAGACACAAACAAAAACACGTTTACCTTGGGGACTTTCATGTCCGACTAGTTGTTTGTTGAATCCGTCCCCTTATGTCGGCATCCGAAGAAGAGATAGACGGAAGCAACCAGGTGAGGTACCAGCGCGTTTTGGACTTCTCATGAGGTACCTGGATCTCAGCTCCAACAATCTCACCACCATAGAAAGCTTGCTCCTACAAAACAATCGCCTGGATGCTGATCTATGTTTGCCTCCCTCCAAAGGTGTGCTACTTTGATGGAGGCGAGCTTTAACACTCTTGCCGGAGAACTCCCAGCGAAAACCATCACCTGATCCTCTGGGCATATAGTTTCGAGGGACATATTCCATCCGCTTTAGCAACCTCGTCGACCTGCAAGACCTGTAATGGTTGAGCTCCATCTGAACAAATGGCGAGAGGTAGGAAACATATTTATGGGGAGAGATACGAAAAACAAATGTTTACCTTGCCAGGAGCAGAATGTAGAAACAGACTGACGAAGTAGAACATCCAGCTTCAATGTGCGTGTCGGACTTACAGAGAAGGCCTGTGTCCTTAGAGTGCATCTATTGGCAAAGAGCTGAACAACAAACAGAGTTAGCAGATCAAAAGAATGCTACTGGTACCGTGATCGTTGTTAGTTGAATCAGCCCTCCAGGATTCAGTTCCTCCAAAGAAGAAACCACCACGTACGGCATCCCAAATGCTGTCGCTAAGCAGTGGGAGCCATTTACGTTGAAGCAAGCAGCTGCATCAGCAAACCAGCGAAGAGAAATTGCTCTACGTGGGAGTGTCCTGTGAGCTTGGGCCGCAGGTTACAAGCAATGATCGACTAAGCTCGATGAAGTCACTCATGATGCACTTGGCGTCCGCTTCTTGCAAAAAAGAAGAGTGATTTCGTCGTGTAACTATACTTGAAGAGTAGAGATTAGAGCGGACTCACATTCTAAACAACGGGCGATGACGACAGTTCTCCGTTGCTGTCTAGAGCCGGCTACCACTGACTTGAAAGAAAAGAAGACAGCCGCTTGACACTAGAACGAGTTGTTAGTGAATGAGCCTTGAGAAATCAATTTACCCTGTCCAGTTCCTTCTTGATCAGCCACAAGACTAGTGACAATTTGCGTAGCTAAAGGCACTCTGGGCTCAACCACAAGAATTTAAGTGGGATCCATAAATCCAGGAATGCCATACCTTGTACGACGATTTTGTGATGCTCTCGATCGACGCCCGGCGACCTTGCAGCATGCCCAATGCAGGTCTGGATGGAGATCGTACCTGTTGGATCGATCCAAGAACAGCGCCCTGGGCGTCGAGAGAAGCGCCATAATATCGTAAAACCCTATCGGAAAGTACTTGGTGGCGGGAAAAGCCCTAGCTATTCGCGAGAAGAGGAGCGCGTTCTTTACTCCATCGGCGCCCCCGATTCGCAAGAAGAGAAGCTTCGCCATGCATTCTCCAGGTTCCCCGTCGTCGCCCCTGATTCGCGAGAAGAGAAGCTCTGCCATGCGTTCTCCAGGTTCTCCGGCGTCGCCCCCGATTCGCGGGAAGAAAAGCTCCGCCGGTTCTCCGTCATCGCCCCCGGCCAAGACACCGGCAACACCTCCAAGAGGATCGCAAGCGCCAGCAAGAGGATCGCCAGGCTCTCCGCTCGGATCCAAGAAAGGTACCACCAAAAAATTCACGGTTCTTGGAGAGAGGGAGATGAGGATCGATCGCCCTCCAACTCTGGCAGATCTGCGGATCCAGCCAAGCGTCACAAAGACATGGATCAGGGCTGCAAATGGCGCAAAGAAGAACGAGCCATGGGTTTTGATCGAAGACCAAGGCATGCTGGATCTTGTGTGTTCTTGGGCTCACGACTGTGACACCTTCTTGGTGGAGCACAGGGGCAACGATGAGGAGAGCCCCAACACGAAGCCGCCGCGAGGAGCTAGCGCTGGCAGCTGTGATGTTCCAAGATCAATCCAGGGGCTTATAGACGCTGTGGCTTGCAACAAGGTGGATCCAGTAACTTACGAAGATCGGGAGCCAGAGGAAGCTACAAGAGCGATCAAGGTGTGGGACAAGACCAAGTGCTTTGCCATCAGCGCTGAGGGCCTCCTCGAGTTTATGGAGCAGCAGTCCTCTCAGCGATCACTCCTCGAGGTGGAGCTCGTGAGCATGGAGGATGGCGCCATCCTCTTCACCCCGGAAGTCTGGTTTGCGTGCCTCCTGCGCAAGCATCCTTGGTCCAGCATGTTTCGAGGCTTGTTCTCACGCAATGTGGATGCGATTCGGTCCAGGCGCGAAGCTCTCGAGAAGCTCAGAGCGGACAGGGATACAATGGAGCGGCTGTACCTGTACGTGGATCATCTCTTGGCTTACTCCGGCATGGGAGCCAAGGAGCAGCAGCGTGTGGACGAGGGACTCGACGCTTACTTCACTCGCCCACAGCAGGAGTTCCTGCTCTCGTTCCCGGCTGGTAATGGAGCTTCCATGCATGAGCAATTGGCCAGGACGATCGAGGAAGCCATGGACGAAGGCGAGGTCTGCACGGCACACTCTCTCGCACCTTTCTACATGAAGTTTTTCCAGCTGGTCCCCGGGGTGGATTTGAGCCAGGAGAGGCTGATCGACGTGTTTTACAAGGCCAAGCGAGCGTGGAGGAGTTAAAGCTCTCTCTCTCTCTCTCTCTCTCTCTCTCTCTCTCTCTCTCTCTCTCGTCTTTGTGTGTGTGTGTGTGCATGCGTCCCTACATCTCTAACTCCCCGACGATATAGAGGGTAATATAGTATATAAATATTGTATCTCGTCTAAATGACCTCAAAACTGAGAGGTGGGTTAAAATATGATAAAATGCTTTATCGTACATTAATTTGTATAGATAGAAATTACCCAAAATAGTCATTTCAATGTTTTGAATTTTTTAAAGTAATTGTGCAATATACAAAGATGATTATATAATAACACTATTTTTTGGGTTGTATAAACTGTTTTTGAAGTGACATTTTGTGCACTCACAATTTTAGTTTTTTAATAAAATGTATTATAGAATTAATTATTAAACTCATTATTCAAATAAACCTTCTATATTAGCATTATTTAGGACTGAATTTGGTGGTCCCCTAATTAATATATCTATTCCCATGTATTACAATTTATCTCTGAAAGGCAAAGTTTTTTAGCAATATTTCGCTCAATGTTTATGATTGATCTAGCTTTTCTCCAAATCTAGAATTGTAACTATTAGATTTATTTTTCATTTTCAAAATTTCATTGCATTTTTTTCTTCCACCATACCACACTATTGTTGATTGAGAAATGTCTTATCTAAGGATGTAGAAGGTGTGTTGTTATTATCACCTAATAACATTGTTCTTGTGGCTTTAAATCAAACTTTTGGTGTTATAAAACATGATCTTATTAGTGCTACTCTATTTTTTAATGTGTTGTCCATCTCTAACTTTTGTAAGATGTAATTCCACAAATTCTCCTATTCTTAATTTTCTGCCATTTCCTATTGATGTAGAGTGTGATTATAATATCAATTAGAGAGTTATAAATAATGTAGTTCAATTCGTGGAAATAAAGTTTGAGTTTATGAGAAGATAATATTTATGAGATTAAGTGGATTCATTTTTGTAGTGCATATAATCATAAAGTGAAATTTAGATATACTGTTATTGTGGATCCTTGGAACTTTAGAGGATAAATAAGGGTAAAATAGGACTCTCTTATCAAACAATTGCTCTTTTTTTAGTTGACTTAAAGGAAGAGAGATAGAATATGTTACATGTGGTATTGGAGCAAATGACACGTGTTTGATTCCCATTTATTAGTGATTACTTAAAATATAATATATCCTTGAGTAAGGTATATTCCTTAAGTAAGGTATCCAAATATGATAAAATAACCTTTATAGTTGAAATAGTACAGGTTCATAGTCTTTTTGAAAGGATGATCTCAAATAGAGATTTGAGATTTACAAAGAAGTTTTAGGGCACATTATTCCAATTATTCAGATAGTAAGATGCTTCTAGGGACAAGTCTGGACACCAAGATGCTTCTGGGAAATAAAGAGTCATGTGAGTAGTGGAGGATACTTGTGCGAATAAGTCATTAACCCCTTCATCTTTCTTTTAGGAGTATTATTAAGGGGTTCACTTAGCATTAGTTCATCTAATGTTTACTTTCTAAACTTTTTTTTTTTAATAAGAGGTCTTTTATTATTCTCTCTGTGTTGGTTGATGCCGTTTACATTTATATCGTGCAATAGAGCCAATTCTCATTATGTATAGTAATAACCATACACACGTATATGCACAAGATGAGACGGACCTAGTTTTGTGTATGGGTGATTTTAAGCTTGAGTTGTAGTCATTGCGGGTGGTGTTGAGTGAAGATTTTGACTTTATCCTTAGTATAGATTTATTGTAGTGCAATCATGCTAAGTGTGACTTTAAGGTTTCTCCCTTTTATCTCATATTTCTTTATATTTCTTCCATTCCTCTCACTTTTGTTTTTTTTCCATTCCTCTGCTTCTACTTCTTCTTTCATCACTTTTGTCTCCTCATTACTTCCTTTTATGTTTCCATTTTGTTCCTTTATTCCCTCTTCCAATCCCTTCGATAATGTTTATGATGTAGCAATTAACCAACTCATAAAGGAGTCTGCCAATCTCTTTGAATTTGACCTGTTCTCTAGGGCTAAGATTGCAACACGTCATCTTATTACAACTGGGGATGCAGGCTAAGATTGCAACACATCATCCTATTACAATTGGGGATGCCTGTCCAATCAAGGTTCTTATTCATCGTCGGTTACCAAAAGAGATTAAAATTTTATATGCAAATGTCAAGGAAATGTTAGAAAAAGGTGTTATTTGAAAGTTGTAGAGTCTTTGGGCATGTAAACCTCATATTGTGATGAAGCTTGGTGGGAGTATTCGTTTCTTCATTAACTATTGTTCGTTAAACAATGTAATGATCCTGAATGTGTACCCTTTTCCTCACACTGCTAATCTCTTATATCGTTTGGGGAGAAGTCGTTGGTTCACCAAACTTGGCAAGTGCTGATAGCCGAGGTAGATATTCCTAAGACTACTTTTCATATTTTTTTGGTTTGTATGAGTTCTTGGTGATGCTATTTGGTTTGAACAATGCTCTAGCAACTTTCTAGCGAATGATAGACAAAGTTCTTTACAACATGCTGGAAGTGATTGCTGAATTTATCGATGATATCTTAATCCACTCAAAGCGGACGTAATAGGAACACATCTGTGATGTTTGTAAAGTGTTGAATGGGCTACTAGAAGTGGTTTAAACCTGAAGCGGTTGAAATCCGTGTTTGGGTCCAAGGACACAATTTATCTTAGATACCGTATTTTTTGTGAGGGCTTGCAAATTGATCATGACAAACTTGTGGCTGTTTTAAAGTTCCTTATTCCAAAGTGTGTGAATAATGTGCAGTGCTTCTTAGACAAGGTGTAGTATCTTGGTCATTATGTTGATCATTTTTCTAATCACACTACATCATTGCGAGAGTTGCTAAAGTTATCAACATCATCTTTTATCTGGTCTATAGACTGTAAGTAGGCATTTATGAATCTCAAAGAGCTATTGACGATGAGGAGATGCTGGTAGAGCTATAGTACATATTGGTATGCACACATATCCAATGCAGGAAGGGATACAAAGGAGTTTAGTCAATCGTTTCAAAGATGTAGTGTAGATAGAGAATATGAGAAACTCATTTGCAACTCCAAAGCATGTTTAAAAGACAGTGGTAAAGGATTTTAATGCAAACACCCTACTTGATTTAAGTTGCAAGAAGACTCAACTGGAAGAGGCTAGCTTGTGGGAGTTACTATGATGTGTGCAACCTGCAATTACCTGTGAGACACAAAATCCCTAGGCCCCAAAGTGGAGCCGAAAGGCTGCCACGTGATAGTGGCCGAAGCGAAAGACAAATGAGCGTAACATGTTTGGACTAAAAGCTTTGACTTGAAAGGTTGAGAGTGGGAGTGGAACTCCCAACGAAGTGCTCAAGGAACAAGCACGGAGCAAGCAATAAGTGAGTCTCTAAAAAAGGGACGCAAGAGGACCAACACATGACACGTGGAAGTGTCTGACATGGAGTCCGAGATGGACTCGAGGTGGACCCGAGATGGAGTCCGAGATGGACCCGAGATGGAGTCCGAAGTGGAGTCCGAGATGGAACCCGAGATGGAGCCCGAGATGGAGTACGAGATGGAGCTCGAGATGGAGTCGGAGATGGAATTCGAGATGGAGTCCGAGATGGACCCGAGTTGGAGTCCGAGATGGAGTCCGAGATGGACTTCGAG